GGGGGGTGTAATGGAACCCTGTGTGTGCAGGATGTATTGGAACACAGTGTGGGCGGTGGGATCACTTTTGGGTGTCACCAAGTTTCCTCTCTATGCAGATGCTGACAGCGTCCTGCTCACTCCCGTTCCCGTTTGGCTCCTCCTCTCTCCCTGACGGTCTCCTTCCGCACATGGCTTCCCCTCCCTGGCGCTGTCTGTCAGCATGCACGGACGACACTCCAGTCTTCTCCCAGTCGGTGGTTCTGAGAGGAATACCCGGACAGCAGCAGATCGGGTAACCGTGTAATGTGGGAGCCCAGACATCCCATTTATTTCATGTTCTTGCAGATTTTACAATCAGATTGTCTTGTATGTGACCAGTGTAGGAGAAGACTTTGGAAGTGACATCACATGTACAATGCTGAACTGAACATATGGCGCTGCTGTCCTCTTTAACTCTTTCCTATGTCATCCTCAGCTCCCTTCCAGCTAGGACAAGGCCACCCTCGTCTCTACATGCATGCGCCAGCGGAGAGGAGGTGCTCCAATGTTACCTGTCTGCCGCCTGTCCCCGAACACTCAGGTGGGTGCAATCTATGATTAGGACACTTAGCTGGCCATTTCCTGCTGGACATTATAGAAATCAGTGACACTCATGTCACATCAGTCTTGATAGATGGGTCACTGGTGAGACGGATGGCAATTGCTGAGGGCGGTACAGACAGGCAGCCAATCACCATCCGATAAAGGATACCTGTGGATTTCATGGCCGTGACAGGTTCACTTTACATCTGATTATAGGAGATTTAAAACTATAGTTTAGACAGATTGGGCAGCCTATGTTATGGGACCCCACCGGGTATTCTGGGAGACACTAGATTTTTTTGGGGGGTTGTGATGACTTTGGTGAGAGGTATGGGATCATGTTAATTGGTGGGCATGGAGACTTTGCTGAGAGATATTGAAAGATGTTACTTGTGGGGTATCAGGTGATGGTACTGAGCGTTGGATCACCACTTGTGGGGTATCAGGTGCTAGTACTGAGTGTTGGATCACCTCTTGTGGGGTATCAGGTGCTAGTACTGAGTGTTGGATCACCACTTGTGGGGTATCAGGTGCTAGTACTGAGCGTTGGATCACCACTTGTGGGGTATCAGGTGATTAGTACTGAGTGTTGGATCACTACTACTTATAATTATGTTGAATTTTCCTCCTTGCACAGCGTTTCCCACCTCCTGGGGTCCCCTTGCACCCTGGGCCCTACATTTCCTCAGTTCTTCTCCCGCTATATCACCAGAGATGGCTACACAATGGAGGAGCCGCTGACAGATTCCACAGGTGAAGTTCCATGTTGTCTTTGTGAAGCTGGAGGAGAGTGTCTTGTTTCTCCTGTAGGCACTGTCCATATAAGGGGCACACAGACACTCTGCTCTTAACCCTCCAAAGTGGTACCTGCCTAGGGTACCCAAACACTGGGGCTGTGTGACCCAATCCAAAAAGCAGCTCCTGCCAAAGTAGAGTTACTATACTTAGTCCTCTGAGGGGCTGGGTTTCCGACCTTCCTGATATGTGACCTTTTTGAGGCCCCCCTGAGTTTCTGATCTTTCTAACATGAGATGTCTGTCCAAATCTTCAGCATTCTACACTTCCAGGTATGTCGGACATCTTCATCCCCCATCATGCACTGTGGTTCCTTCTAGGGAGGCACTGACACCGTTACTAGTATCGGTGCCGATGCCGAATATTTGTACTCGCCCAAATGCTCCGATGCTTACATCCGCTACCTGAGCTTCCGGTGTCAGGAAGCCGGGCAGCGAGTCATTACAAGCTGATCAGCTTCCTGATTGGTCGGGAAGCCAGCTCCATGCTCCCTCGTCACTTGGTGATGGCTCACCGGTCAATCAGGAAGTCGAGCAGCGTGTAATGACTCGCCACCTAGCTTCCTGATTGGTCGGGAACCCAGCCAATCAGGAAGCCGGACGGCAAGTCATTACCAGCTACAACCAATCAGCAAGCCGGGCAATGAGTCATTACACAGCGCCCGGCTTCCTGATTGGCCAGAAAGGCGGCTCCATGCTAATCGGGAAGCTGGGTGGCGAAATGTTTCACACTGCCCGGGTTCCTGGCTAATTAGGAAGCCGGACGGCGAGTCATTACACTCCACCTGGCTTCCTCAATGGGACTTCCGGTATCGGTATGTGGTATCGGCGAGTACCGGGAAAAAATATTAGTACTCGATACCAAAAAACTGATATTTGTGCATCCCTAGTTCCTTGTCATGACCCAGCCCTCTGTCCTCCTTTATATATATCAGGCATCAGAAGGGAGTAGGGGATGGATGCACATACATTTGGACACAGTGGTGATTTCCCTGAACTGTGACCGCAGCAATCAAATCTCTACTTCCTGTGCTCTATAATGCGGCTCTCTGAACAGTAACCATTTCTTTCCTCAGTTGTAGATGGAGTCCCTGTTATGGCCGCCCTGCGCACCTCCAGCGCCCTCCGCCTGAGTCTGCGTGCTTTGTGCGATGAGGTCACCAAGATGGATCTCAGACGTTGCGCCAATTACTCCACGGCTGGCATCGAAGAGGAGGAATTTAAAGAAGTCATCAGCGACCTGCGCAGCCTTGCTCATTGCTATCAGGTCTACGAAGGTGAAGTCAGCGATGACAGCGACTGATTGTCCCTGTTACAACATATGGAGCATGATACGCCGCTACTAAACACAGCAACTAAATCAAACCAAATCTCCGAATATGCTCATCCAAAAACTGAGAATTTTACGTCACAAATAAAATATCCTAAAACCAATCTGTAGAGGTTTCATGTGTCTGTGTCATCCTAATCATCCTCGGGCTGGGCAGGCTGTGGATCAGATCCATCATTAAGGCATACTCCTCTTCCTTGTTGCTGACACAGTCACCCTGGTAAAGAGCCCAATTTTGAAGGGAGTCACACGGGATTGGGGATTAAGGGGGGTGTTCTTTGGACAAGTATGTTATGTCATTCTGACCCCAGGTGGCACCACTACCACAGAAGGAGAAATGGGGGAACACCCCCCCTTACAGATAGAGATGCCTTTTCTGGCGTTGACAGCTTCATCATTTATGGTCATCAGGTCGGTACATTATATGGGGAGCATCTGGTCCTCAGGAAGCCTTAAAGGGCAAAGAACTCTGCCACCCAGTAATGGGGGAGCTCTGTATTCGTGTTTCATATTTATGACTAAAATTTCTTCTGGCCGACCCCAGCAAAGCCTTGGAACCAAAATAAGGGGATTGTCTTTGGGTGGAGAATCTCCATATTAAGGAGCTGAGGCGCTGCCCTCTGTTGGATGTTTCCCACCTTTACACCCACTTGGGGTCACTGTCACCCTTTCAGGTCACCTTATAGGAGGTTCAGGTGCCATTTTGTGCCAGGGAAAATAAATTCTGACACTTCTGCCTGCTCTACTCTGGGCAGTTTCCGGGACAATTTCCTGGCCATGACTGCAGGGTTGCTAGCCAAGGACTGAAATAATGAACGGTTTCTCATGTGAGGATAGAAGGCAAGGCAGTTCTGCAGACTATGTAGAAGGTGCAGTGGCTCTGCTGACTTGGCACTCTTTTGTTCTGTATTTAGATTTTGGCTTATGATTGAGTGACGTTCATCTTCTATATAGATGGACATCATTACATGGAGGTCTATCGCTCTGGCTGTATGGCAGGGACTGATAATCATTGTTTCAGAATAGTGAAATATGGGAAGGGCATTTGGGGGCCACAGAGGGTGACTATCATATAAGGCCTCCATCTGTCTATCGATACAGGTAATAAGGAATGGGCTGTCTAGCCAAAATCGCAGTACTGCCAACCACTGACGTCCCCTTTTCTTGATCAAGACATTTGTTTTAAGGTGTTTTCCAAGTGGCTTCCCAATAACTCAGTGGGATCTGAATTTGGTTCTCTCAGTACTGCCTTCTAGTACTGAGAGAACCAATTTCGGATCCCACAGAGTCCAACTGATCAGAAGGGGTATTCCACTTTCCGCTCTGTCACAAGGTGGTATTTCTTGTTGCCATCACCTCTGCAAGGCATGGGAGAACTCTGCCTGGTAAGAACCCTTTCTGGTCTTGTACAAAGAGAAGGTAGTTTCAGCCTTACTCAACCACTTATAATGACATTTCTGGTAGAAAGTATTACAGACTCATTGGAAAGGAAAGAAGTCTTAACAAGAGGTGTGATGAAGGCAGAGACTCTAAGAAAGTTGTGGAAGGAATTGTTGTATCACTCCCAGAATCCATAACTCCAGGCAGGGTTTGTCTTTGCTTTTTCTTTGAGGCACATGCACAATATTATATTGTAATTTGTATAGGCTTTTAATAGAGCCAACAGCTTGTGCAGGAACTTTACATCATACAGTTACAATACAATTCAAGGCAGGATGGTTGGAAGGGCCCTGGTTGGGGATGGGCTTTCCAGAGGGGTTTGAGCGATTGAAGACTCCAAGGCAGACAACTGGTCATTGAGTGATGTAGTGGTAGTTTCCTCTGCGTTGACCCTGGCATCGACTACTGAGATGTGCTGCTTCAAATCATGAAGTTCATTTTATAAAGCGTCCACAATGGACAAAGCCATGTCTTGTAGATCTTGTTTAGTGGGTAGGCGTGGTAGAAGATCTCTCACCTCTCTGTCTGTGCTTCATGGTGTGAAGAGGCCTGTGAGGCTGGTGAGCCAGCAGGGGACTCACCTCCTGGTATCTCTGGAGTCAGGATCAATGAAGCTGGAGGACTGATAAGAGTGGTGTGCAGTGAAGCCCAACGCCTGCACCGGCTGAGTCTTGCCTGTTGGGCCTGCCGTGGATGCAAAATGGGTCAGCGTCATATTGGTTACTGGTGAGTAGGCCGGCAGCTAAAGCAGAAAAATACTGTATACCGCCCCGGAACTCTGTTCCCCGTGCAGACAGGGAGTGCATCTCAACTTGGGCATAGGGTAAGACCCCAGAATCGGGAGCCGAAGAGTTGGTCTGGCCCGTGCTGTGCAGAGCTCCGGCGGAATGCAACCGCACTCGGCCATTGCTAAGCTACGCCCCCCCATTATCATTTTTGTCATCTCTAACACCCCCCTCTTAATCACTCCCATTATCATTAACACCAAGCCATTATATCTCTTTGAAAAGGCTCTTTGCTTGTTGCCATTTTAAATAAGTTTTATCCCAATAATATGACTTAAAAATAAATCCAGCATTACATAATTACAATCAACTCATTTATTCAGATGTCTTAAAGGAATTCAGTTTTATATCCCAAAACATTCAAAACACATAATTTGCCCCAAGAGCTCCAAGGCAACCTTCTTGCTATACAGTGATGAACATTACGAGTCTCACAGGGATGTCACAGATAGTTTTATATATTGTGGAAGATCACAGTTTATTGTATAGATGTCTAAAGCAATCCAAGCATGATACAGCTTATCAAGATGTGAACATTGCCTTACCCTATGGAAAGATTTCTAACCTAATAATTGAAGCAGGTTTGATCTTTCTTATGAAGTCTGTTTTGAAAGAATCTGGACATGGAATCAGTCAGCAGAGAGTTCGAACTGCGTCCACTTCATACGGCCATCCCTATTTGTTCTTCATTTTGCATCCTGTTCATTAACCACTTCCCATTTGGAGCGATTTCTTAATTTTTTCAGACACATGATAACATCTGAATTTTTGTCTAGAAAAATGCTTAATACATAAAGATATATTTTCTGGGCACAGAGGCCCTGTAGAATTAAAAAAATACTAATTGCAATTTTTTATGGTGCGCTATATTTACCCAAATGTTTATTAAATCAATATTTTTAAGATACAATACACTAAAATGAATTTTAGTGCACATAAACAGAAAATAATACCCACCTTTAGGTAAAATATAAAAGATGGGGTTGTATTGCGTAAATAGATACCAAACATGTTAAGCCCAAAAATTGCGTGCGCCTGTGAAATAGCAAAAAATTACAGCACCCGAAATTGCCCAAGGTGACGCTTTAAAAGCCTTTAGCGCTCATCAGTTTAGTGTTAACAGTGATTGATTTATTAATTCTCTATAGGTTGAACTCGATGGACTTGTGTCTTTTTTCAACCTGACTAACTATATAACTATATGTAGAATTATTGCACTCACTCTGATCAATACAAAATTTTGCTATGGGGCCCTGTGATTTTTTGTTATGCTCCTGTTTCCTCCCACACTTCAAACGCATTCTGCTAATATGTGTACATATAAGATAGGGACCTTAGCTTGTAAGTTCCTTGGGGGTGGGGACTGATGTGAATAAATAGTATGTAAAGCCCTGTGTATATTCAGAGTGCACTATACATGCAATACAGTGGCGTCACAAGGGGGTGCGGCCCGCACCGGTTGACACCATCAGAGGTGACTCACAGTCATTTTGGTGTCACCCCCCCCCCC